CACCACCACCACCACCACCACCACCACCACCACCACCACCACCCAGCTGGTTTTTAAGAAAAATCTAAAACAGCGCTGTTTGATCTCAAACTTGATAATCATTTTGAGAACCAGTGATGTAAAACTTTTTTTCTTAATATAATGTCTGGTGAACGTTTTCTCACAACTGCTCCCACATCAATATTCCTTCTTTTCCCTAAAGCAATGGTTTCCATAATGTAGTCTCTGGATGAGTACATTTAGCAAACGTATTGGAAATGTAGATTCATGAGGCCCATCCAAGACCTACTGAATGAACTTTCAAGGTTGGTCTGGGGCAGCAATCTATGTTTTGAAATTTTTATTTTAGATTTATTTTATGTGAAAGTGTTTTGCATGCATGTATGTATATATAGCACATGCGTGCCTGGTATCTGCAGAGGACAAGAAAGGGGTGCTGGATCCCCTGGCACTCAATTTATGGATGGTTGCAGATCACCATGTGGGTACTGGAACCAACAGTTGCTCTTAACTGTTGAGCCATGAATGCTTTTTAACAAGCTATCTCTTGGGATAGTTACTGTGATATATGCTGAAGTCTGAGAACCACTGTCCATCCTACTCACATAATAGTATAAAAAGCATCACTTTACTGTGTCATTTTCAAGCTCTACTTTTTATTTTTATCCACCTATTTCCAAATGCATGCTTTCATTGTCTATCTACCTACTTACAGAAACGTATCAACTATTTCCTTTGAAATCCCATCCTAAGGACTGAAGACGAGAACAGGCCAAACAAGACTCACATTAGCCACAGAACAGATCTCTATTAATTTGGTCTTTTCATTTTCTTACATGCTAATGGGATAGAGTCTGGAATATCTACCTGAAAGATTTCTTCTGTGAATTAATACAGCTTCTAAAATTATTCCCATGAAGTTCTTTCGAGTCTATGCAACACAGGCTACCTACAAACATGTTATTTGCTACTTAATAAAAACTACTTCTTTCTCAACTGGGAATAAATCATCAAGCTGGGGAAGACTGATGCTGGAAGACACTTTCCCTTCCTTCCTTCCTTCCTTCCTTCCTTCCTTCCTTCCTTCCTTCCTTCCTTCCTTCCTTCCTTCCTTCCTTTTTGAGACAGGATTTCTCTATGTAGTCTAAAGGCATAAATCATCACATCTGGCACTGGAAGACATGTTATACCATGAAGTAGAAGAGCAATGAGATGAGTCCATAGGGCTGTGTCTTTCCTAAACATGTCTCTATGTGTTCTGTTTCCAGGTTAGAGGTTACAGCAATTCTAGTTAATGTTTTAAGGTGCATTTGGTGTTATAGAATATATAAATGACATAGTAACCACTGCTGAACCTCAAAAATTTTCATCTTACTTTCCTTACTTTCCACCCAGATTTCATTCATTCGTTCTCTAGTTGCTTCCTAGAACTGACTTTTTTTTTTTTTTTTTTTTTTTGGTTTTTCGAGACAGGGTTTCTCTGTGTTGCTTTGCGCCTTTCCTGGAACTCACTCGGTAGCTCAGGCTGGCCTCGAACTCCCAGAGATCCGCCTGCCTCTGCCTCCCGAGTGCTGGGATTAAAGGCGTGCGCCACCACCGCCCGGCTAGAACTGACTTTTTAATTTTTTAACATTTTATTTATTCAGTGTGTGTTTCTCCCTTTGTGTGTGCATTTTTTTTAAGATTTATTTATTTATTATATATACAGAAGAGGGCACCAGATCTCATTACAGATGGTTGTGAGCCACCATGTGGGTGCTGGGAATTGAACTCAGGTCCTCTGGAAGAGCAGTCGGTGCTCTTAACCTCTGAGCCATCTCTCCAGCCCTTTGTGTACGTTTACATATGGGTATGCATGTAGAGATCACAGGACAACTTGCAGGAATCCCTCTTCACCTTCCACCATATAGTTTTTGGCAATGGAACTCAGCTCATCTGGCCTGGCAGGCAGGGCTTTTAACAGCTATCTTACCAGCACTGGAGACTTTCAGTCCAGATCAGGCCTGGATTACTAACATAGTATCTCCAACTGCTATCAGCATATACGGTATAGATAAATTATTTTTAAATATTGACTTCATATAATTATCCTGCTCAGTAGCTTCTTGTGTTTTCCTTTTTACTATAAAATTCAGATATCACAGATATCAGACATTTAAAGTCTTCCCTGGAACTCGGGGCTAAAATCTGGCTCCATTCTTCAATTAACTTTATTTTATACCTTTTTCCAATAAGTAAGTTTTCTTCTCTAGAATAAATGAAACTTTTAAATCTTAGTGTGAAGTTTAAGATATAAGAAAAAGAAACACAGACACTGAAATCCCTAACAGCAAACATTTATTTACAATCCAAGTTAAGGAATACATATATATGTATGTCTATATGTGTGTATATGTGTATATATATACATACACACACATACATATATATATATGAGTTTGGAGACAAGATCTTGATATATATCCCTGGCTGGCCTGGACCTCCCTATGCAGAAAGGCTGGCCTCAAACTTGCAGCAATCCTCTTGCCTCTGCTTCAAAATGCTGGGATTATAGACATGAGCTACCATGCCTGGCTGAGTTACGGAATATTTTTAATTCATGCTGAGAAAACAGTAATACTTCAAACTTACATGTATATATTTGATAATGAATACAAGAGGATGCTGGGAAGGACTTTGGCATACACAACTATTAGAAGCAGGTTATCAGAACACAAACACCATTAGAACCATGTTATCAGAACACTTACATATATCACCTAAGTATATGTTACACCAACTTCATGGATACCCCATCTTCTAACTCCTCACTGGCTATTTGAATAAATAGCATTCAAAGTTAAATGGTAAGACTGGGGAGTAGAGAGGAAATACAGAAGTGGTAAGCATCACAATATTTTAGAGTCTACATATAGGAATACAACAATAAAATTAAGAAACAGTGTTTCAACTTTTTTGTGTTAAACAATATTCAGCAATGTTTAGCGCATGAGAAGACACTGTTTTGGTCCATCCACTCTCTCCAGCTTTTCAAAGTGTTTCCTGGCATTGCGGATGTTGATCAGAGTAGCTGCAGAAGCTAAGGGTGGGGGTGGGGAGACACCCAACAGAGTAAGAAGAGCAGTCAAAGAAATGTCTCTCTAGTAAAAGCAAATAAATTAAAAGATCCAAATCCTTCAATGTATGCCAGAGAACATACAGGAACAGCAAGCCTCAAGTTATCAAGGTTTGATATTTCTGAAGCAGATTTTCACATATCCTAAACATAAAATTTCACAATCTTTTAGTTTGAGACTAATAGAATAAACCTCAATATCTTATGCTACCTTTAAATATTAACCTAAAGTAGATAAAACCAGAAGACATAATTTAAACACATGGGATTATGGAAACACTGTGAGAACCTTTAGTCTAACGGTTGTAGCAGACATGCTTCCATGGTATGGAAATAACAAATATTACCCCTTAATGCTCATAACAGAAATATGCAGCTGTGGAACATGTCAATCCATGACATGGTTCAGCTTTTAATAACTTAGAGGTTACATGGCTAGTCTTTTAAAAGTTCAGGGATCTGGGTTCTCTTTTCTTTAAAATTCCTCAATTTAGTAACCTGTTGTGGTAGTTTGAATGTAATTGGCCCCCGTAATCTCAAAGGGACTGCCACTATTGGGAGGTGTGGCTTTGTTGGAGTGCGTGTGGCCTTTCTGGAGGCAGTGTGTCACTGTGGGGGTGGGCTTTGGGGTTTCCTATGCTCTGGATACCACCCAGTGAGTTAGTCTACTTCCTGCTGTCTTGTGGTGAAGGTTTTACCAGCTCCATGTCTACCTGCATGCTGCTATGCTCCCTGTCATGATGATAGTGGGTTGAACCTCTGAAACTGTTAAGCTACCACCTCAATTAAATGTTTTCTTTGTAAGAGTCGCTGTGTCTTTACACAGCAATAGAAACCCTAAGACACCTGCTTTCTTAAGTACTCATTAAGAAAAATATAATACCTGAGAAAAATTATTTTTCAGCTTCAAAATGTAAGCCTATTAAATCATTTAACACTACTACTACCACTACTACTACTTTCTTTAACAGTAGCTTTAATATATATGTATATTATACATTACATATGTATAATATGTAAGATTTACCACACTTACCATTTTTAAGTATACAGTTCAATGAGATTAAGTAGTTTCATGTTATTGTACAACCACCCTCATTATAAAATAATTTTTTTAAAAATTTATTTGTTTATTATGTATACAGTGTTCTGTCTGCATGTATGCCTGCAGGCCAGAAGAGGGCGCCAGATCTCACTACAGATGGTTGTGAGCTACCATGTGGGTGCTGGGAATTTTAGTCAGGTCCTCTAGAAGAACAGCCAGTGCTCTTAACCACTGAGCCATCTCTCTAGCCCAATAATTTTTAAATATTTAATAAAGTACTACCTCTTGAGCCTTTGTTTAAAAATTATGCGACTTTGAAACTATGTCAGCCAAGTTTCAACTTACGAATGGATGGATCAGACATCACGACCATGACGTAAGTGTTGGATGTGAATATGTCAATGAAAGCAGCAAAGTTAGAGTTCCTCACTTCCATACTCTGGAAAGAGGCAGCCAGCTTGCTATGGGAGAAAGGAAAATGGTGGTTAAAGAAAAGACTGAATAAGTTGTTCTTATTATATTAGAAATTTTTATAGCACCGGGTCTCAATTCACCACTTAGTAAGTTTCCGAGGAAACTGTACTGATGAACTTAACATGTTTAGAGAATGAATAGACTGGGAAATAGGATATGGATTGATATACACTAAGAAGTGAAAATGGGCTTAACTCTAAACACATAGTAAAAAACGTTACTGAAGATTTTCTAATAATTCTTATAATTAGCATACAAAGCACAGGGTTTCATTATGGCATTTTACACACACACACACACACACACACACACACACACACACACACACACACACACACACACACACCTCACTTTGTTCTTATTTGCCCCCTCTCCATTCTCCTAAAACCCTCTCCCCTCACTACTGCTAGTTTCCTTATCCCCCAAATTATGCACCTGTTTTCATGTCATGTGTATCCTATTTCCCTTTTTTCTCTCTAATCCAACTTAAAATATAATATCTTCCTATTCTCTCATGGTCCCATTTCGTATTTGTATTCTTTACTTTTTTACTTTTATTATTATGCACACAGAGACACAAATTTGAATGGCTCCTCATATGAGAGAAAACATGGTATTTGTTTGAGTAGCCTATTTCACTTAACATAGTATTACCAGTTCCATTTATTTTCCTGCAAATGTCATACTTTTCCTTATGATACTGTATATGGCCAATAATTGATTGAATAAATGTTCAACATCCTTAGCCATGAGGGAAAATGCTAGTTAAAACATCTTCAATATCACATCTCAGCCCACTAAGTCTGGCTTTCATTAAGAACAAAGACAGCAAATTCTGAAGCACATCAGAAGGAGGAGCAAGTCCTTGTGCACTGCGCAAGGTGTAAACTTGTGCAACCACTATGAAACCAGCATGTTGCCGGGCATGGTGGCACAGGCCTTTAATCCCAGCACTCGGGAGGCAGAGGCAGGCGGATCTCTATAAATTCAAGGCCAGCCTGGTCTACAGAGGGAGTTCCAGGAAAGGTGCAAAGCTACACAGAGAAACCCTGTCTCAAAAAATTAAAAAAAAGAAAGAAACCAGTGTGTCAATTGACCAATAAACTCAAATACTGGGATTATTGGGATTATTTCTTGAGCACCTAAAGTCATTTTGAGAAAGTCCTTGCCTATATCTTGAAGTATTTTGAAGTATTTTGCATATATTTTTATCTAGCTGTTTTAGAGCTTCAGGACAATAAGGTCTTTGATCAATTTTTTTGCATGGCAGGAGATATGGGTCTAGTTTCATTCTTCTACAAGTGAATATCCAGATGGTTTTTCCCAGAACCAATTGTGGAATAGTTGTCTTTTTTTCCTATGTATTTCTGACATCTTCGCCGAAGCTAGGGGCCTGTAGTATTAGTGTGGGTTTATTTCTGAATCTTCTATACTCTTCTATTGATCTACACATCTCCTTTACTTGTGTGTATATAAATATAAAAATATAACATGCTCAGTCTATATAATGACTACTGATTTTTTAATGTTGATTTAGTATCCTGTTAATTTGTTGAATATGCTGATTAAAGAATTATCCAGTTGAATGTCATTTGCAAATAGAGATAATTCTATTTCTTTCCTACATTCCTTTTATTTCTTTCGTTTCAGTATTCTGTCTCTGATTTTGAGCATTATAATTAATAAAATGGAGGGGGTAGACACTCTTTTCTAATTCCTGATTTTACAGAAAATGGTTTCAACTTTTCCCCATTTGATATAATGTTGGCTATAGGTTTGACATGCATAGCCTTTCTTAGGTCCAGATACTTTTTTTTCAGACAGGATTTCTCTGTGTAACAGCCCTGGCTGTCCTGGAACTCACTTTCTAGAGCAGGCTGGCCTCAAACTCAAAGAGATCCACCTGCCTCTGCCTCCTGTGTGCTGGGATTAAAGGTATGTGCTACCACCACCCAGCAAGATACATTATTTTTATTCCTAGGTTTTTCAGGCTTTTATCATGAGAAGTTGCTAAACTTTGTCAAAAGTCTTCCCTGCATGTACTAATTGTTTGAGTTCCATCCCTATGTTATTTTGTGTATTATATTACACTTACTAATTAACACACATTGAACCAACCTTGAAACTGTGGGACAAAAGCAACTTGGTCATGGTATATAATCTTAGTGTGTTCTATAATTCAGTTTTCAAGTACTCTGTTGACAGTTTTCGCATCTATGTTCATCAGGAAAATTGGTCTAGGTTATTTTTGGTGTGTTTTTATTTGGTTATTGTAACAGCATAATTCTTTCATAGAATTAATTTGGTAGTATTCCTTCCCTTTCTGTCTCTTGGGACAGGTTAGGAAGTATTAGATTTAGCTGTTTCTAAAATGTTTGGTAAAACTATTCAGAGAGTACACTTGGTTCTAGGCCTCTTTGCGGAGAGAGATGTTTAATTAGTGCTTCAGTCTAGCTACATGATATGGGTCTGAGGTATTTATACACTTTTACTTAATTTAGGTAGGTTATAAATATTTAGGAATCTATCTCTGTCTTCCAGATTTTTCAGGGTTTTATTTTTGAATAGAATTATTCAATGTGTCCCCTAATAATCTCCTGGATTTCATTAGAATCTGTTGCAACATCCCCATCTACATCTCCAATGTTATTCATTTAATGTTTCCTCTTCTTCTGTTTAGTTCTACTACTGGTTTATCAATCACATTTAGCCTCAGAAGGAAGCATTTTAGTCTCCATTTTATTAACTTCTGCCTTGATTCATATTCTCTCTTGCCCCCTACTGCTTTAAGGTTTGGCTTGTTCTCCTTTTTTTAAGACCTCAAGGTACACCATTGTTATTTGAGGTGTCTCTGACTTTTACTGTAAACACTTATAGCTTATAAACCTTTCTCTTAGAACTGCTTTAGCTGTTTACCACAGATTATGGTAAGGTGCACAATCATTTTCACTTGATTCTAGAAATTTTTAAACTTACTCTTTGATTTAATCTATCACTGATTGTTTATTTAAGCATGTTATTTTTCTACAATTTCTTTGTTTCTGTTATTTGTCTAACTAGTTTCATTCCTACTATAATCTGACAAAATAAAAAGAATTATTTTAATTCTTTTGCTAAGGCTTATTTGGTAGCTTATGTGATCAAATTCAGAGAATGTTCCATAGACTGCTGAAAACAATGGATGTCAGATGGAATTTTCTGCAGAGACTTATAAAATCTATTTAATCTGTGGTATTGTATAGTTTTGACATTTCTTTGTTAATTTTCACTTCAGATGACCTATCTAAAAAAGAGTATTAAAGACAGGCAGCAGTGGCGCACGCCTTTAATCCCAGCAATTGGGAGGCAGAGCCAGGTAGATTTCTGTGAGTTCGAGGCCAGCCTGGTCTACAGAGTGAGATACAGGACAGGCACCAAAAACTACACGGAGAAACCCTGTCTCAAAAACAAAAACAAAAACAAAAAGAAAGAAGAGTATTTAAATCACCAGTATCAGGACCCATCTGAGTTTTCATGCTCTTGTATATTTGTTTTATGAAATTAAGGTACCGAAACGCTTATACATTTACAACTGTTATATATTCTTAATAAGTTGTTCCTCATATTACTATGCAGTGTCCCAACTGATCTAATTTTCATTGGAAGCATACTTCATCAAGCATCAGATTAGCTGTACTAGCTTATCTGCTTCCATTTGCTTGAGGAATTGACTTCCATTCTTTAGCTTTATGTCTATACATTTGCCAGTAAAGTGAGTTTACTGTATGCAGCAGTTAAATGAGGAACTGAGGACACTTGCATTTAAGGTTTCCTATTTCCTATGGGGCTATTTTATTGTGTTAAATGTTATGGGGTCCTTCCCAGCTCTCCTTTCTGCATTTTCCCCTGAAATTTAGTCTTTCCTGTGATCTCATGATTGAGACTGACTGTCTTTTGCCTGTGTGTAGTAATTGTTCTCATATTTTTTAAGGTGCTGGTTTGGTAGTCATGAACTCCCGGAATTTTTGCTTATCTTGAAATGTTCTTTTCCATTTATTAAAAAGGTAGCTTTCCTGGACATAGCAATTTTAGTTGTCAGTTGTTTGGTTTCAGGGATTAAAATATATCATGTGATGTTTTTCCAGCTTTTAAGCTTAGTGATAAGACATTTTCTCCTTACAGTTTTTAATACTGTTTCTCTGTTTTGTATTTTTGGCTCATTTGTCATGGAGAGGCTCTTCTTTGGTCATGGCTACTTAGGGTTGTAAATGCCTCTTGTGTCTGACTGTCCATTTCTTTCCCTAGATTTCGGAAATTTTCTGTTATAATTTCACTGAATATACTGGGAACTGAACTCAGGTCCTCTGCAAAAGCAACAAGTGCTCTTAACCACTGAGTAGTCTCTCTAGTTCGATGCCCTTGCATTTTATTTTAGCTCTTCTCCCAGATTCTTAGGTTTGGGCTATTGAACATATCCTAATAATTCTTATAAGTTTTGGTCACGCTAATTTTTTTCTTTTGGGTTTTTGAGACAGGGTTTCTCTGTGTAGTCCTAGCAGTCCTGGAACTTGCTGTATAAAGCAGGCTGGCCTCGAACTCTCAAATACTGGGATTAAAGGTGTGTGCCAGAACTGCCTCTGGCTGGTCATTGCTAATTTTACCTTCCTTCTTTCCTTTCTTTTTTTCTTTCTATCTATCTACCTACCTACCTATCTATCTGAATGCATTTTGTCCTCTATTTTTAATACTTTTTTTCTGCTTGGTTTTGTGTGTTGATGATTCTTCCCACTGTGTTTTTTTTTTTTTGTATTCTTTCATTTTGTGAAATTCAGAATCTCAGGTTCCTTAGTATTTTCTACCTGTTTATTGCATTTCTCCCCCACACTGCTAACCTTTCCATCCACTTTGATAACTTTCGTATCTAGGCCCTGAACATTCCTTACTTCAGTCATCTGTTTTTTGAGTCCTCTATTTGAGCACAGTTATTTTTTAAAAAGCAGGACTCTGAAGTCTTCTTCTGGCATTTCTGTATCTTTGACTTCCAATAAGGAGGAACTGGGAACATCTGTGCACATGAACACAGTGTCACAGTGGTCCATTCTCTCTCTACTGATGCTTTGTTGTGTTTTGTGTATCTGTTGGATGTAGCTTTTAGTTTTCCTGTTTCTTTCTTTTCTTACTGGTTTGGTTGACTTTATGCGAGTCATCACAGTGAGCTGCCTTCACTTGGTAGGTGAAGCCAATTTAGTAACAGAAACAATGGTTTGACAGAAGCCCTGGTGTTAACATGCTGGAAAAGACCTTGTGTAGATCACTTATGTCCTTAATGTTCAAGACAGAGGAAGTAGGGCACTGTGGGGAAATGTATCTTGTTTATAGCTAGGGTCAGTAATAATTAAAAAGTAAAAAGAGAAAAGGGTGTGGAAAAGGGAAAGAATAAAGTATAATAAAAGTAAAGTACAGGGCTACAGGCATGAGAAACAATAGAGCAAACAAAGAATAGGTGCAGAAAAGTAAAGTCTGTTATAAAAGCTTATTCTTGCAAGATACAAATAAAAACAAAACTACTAAACAAAACACAAGCATGTAAATTAAGAATTACAAAAAGTGGCCGGGCGGTGGTGGCGCACTCCTTTAATCCCAGCACTCGGGAGGCAGAGCCAGGTGGATCTCTGTGAGTTCGAGGCCAGCCTGGGCTACCAAGTGAGTTCCAGGAAAGGCTCAAAGCTACACAGAGAAACCCTGTCTCGAAAAACCAAAAAAAAAAAAAAAAGAATTACAAAAAGTAACTAAAATGAGACAACAATTATTATAATCTTAGGATTTTTTTCCTTTGGGGTGAACATAGTTGCTCTCCAGTTTGGTTGTCTCCTTTAGCTGTTTCTGTAGGTAAAGAGACAGCTGTTAGTCTCTAGAATTTAAACACGTTATGTGGGTGTGTCTTCCCTGTTGCAAGGTGTTTCTGTGTTGTACTTGCTTTCTTAGGAGTTTCCAAGTCTGAAACAATCCATCGGTCAGCTACTGACTTATCCTGGATGATTCCTGACCAGTTTGCATGAGGCGCTTGAGTCAGAAGCTCTGAGGGAATGTGGAAGGCTATATTTGTATTCCCTTCTGTCATAGGCTGTTGTCCTCGAACCCAGACCCCTGCTATTCATTTGCTAATGATGCATACCTACTGCCCCAAACTGTACTTGTGTCCATCTCTAACAGCGTGCCAGGCTGAGCAGAATTCCTTTGTGTGAGCATGTCGGTGCTTGTGCAAACAGTGCTGACGGTAGTGCTTTCCTTTTCTTCCTCAGGTGGCTCCCTCTGGGACTCCTGCTTCATATGCCCTTGTTGCATTTCTATCCCAGTATCCCTGGTAATCTCAGTGCTCATGGTGTATCCAGCTCCTAGTTGGGTCTCCATAGCTTGTCTATCTCCAGATAACTCTTCCTATGGCATCAGTGCTCAGGATGGGACAGCTTCTCCCTGTTCTTAGCAGTGCCCTCAATCCCAGGGAGGCAGTGTGGTACACTCCTGTCTAGTTGCTCACTGTTTCTACTGGAGACAATTATTTTGATCTCAACTCAACTCATTTCTTTCCTATAGCTCTCACTTCTCCTCCCACGCCAACACTTTCAGCTGTTCTACTTTAGTTGCTGAATAGTCTTACTCTCTACTCTTGCCCTCTTAGCATCAGTGTTTCCTTTTTATTTTTATTTTTTTGTTTTCTAAGACAGAGTTTCTCTGTGCAGTCCTGGCTGTACTGGAACTCACTCTGTAGACCAGGCTGGCCTTGAACTCACAGAGATCTGCCTGCCTCTGCCTCCTCAGTGCTAGGATTAAAGGCATGCGCCACCACTGCCTGGCCAGTGTTTCCTTTTTAAAAATCCAGGCTTTTCTCCTTCACTAGGTCACAAGTTCCCCCTTCCTTTTCAAAATCTTACTGGATATTCTAATTTTATTTTTGAGACAGGGTTTCTCTGTGTAGCTTTGGAGCCTTTCCTGGAACTCACTCTGTAGTCCAGGCTCGCCTCGAACTCACAGAGATCTGCCTGCCTATGCTTCCCAAGAGCTGGGATTAAAGGCGTGCATCACCACTGCCCGGCTATTTTTATTTCTTAAATGGTATCAAATATCTCAAGAAGGATACTTGACTTGAATTTTTTTTTTTTTGGAGCTGAGGTCCGAACCCAGGGCCTTGCACTTGCTAGGCATGCGCTCTACCTCTGAGCTAAATCCCCAACCCCGAGTATTTTTTTTTTCTGAGATAGGATTTCATTGTGCAGCCCTAGCCATCCTGGACATCTCTCTGTAGACCAGGCTGGCCTCTGCCTCCTGAGTACTGGGATTAAAGGTGTGTGCCATCACCACTGACAAGTATTTTCTATATACTTCTGTACCAGTTTGGTTCACATAATCCTTGGATTTGGGATATTTTTTCGCTAAAAATCCTGAATGTAATAACTCTCTCAAGTTCCCATGAAGAACATAATGTCCTTGCCCAGTTACTTTTCATGTTCAAAATCTAAGACTATTATGCTTATATTAAAAACACAATGGACTGCACTTCAGTCAGTTGTAAGCTCTCTTAGAACTCAAGTTTTTATCTGACTAAGCAAACTATTGTAAACATAAATGTGCAGTCAACTAAATTTCAAAATAATAAATATTACACAGAAATTAACAGGTTAATACTTATAAAGCTCCGGGAGTCTAATTAGCGAGAAAGAGGTGGGTTTATATGAGCGAGAATTGTTGAAACCAAGGTTGGATAAAGCACAGGGACAAAAAGCCAAACGAATGGAAACACATGAACTATGAACCAAAGGCTGAGGGGCCCCCAACTGGATCAGGCCCTCTGAATAGGTGAGACAGTTGATTGACTTGATCTGTTTGGGAGGCATCCAGGCAGTGGTACCAGGTCCTGTGCTCATTGCATGAGTTGGCTGTTTGAAACCTGGAGCTTATGTAGGGTCGCTTGGCTAGGCCTGGGAGGAGGGGACTGAACCTGCCTAGACTAAGTCTACCAGGTTGATCTCAGTCCTCGGAGGAGGCTTTGGCCTGGAGGAGGTGGGAATGGGGGGTGGGCTAGGGGGAAGGGGAGAGGGGCGGGAGGAGGGAGAACAAGGGAATCCGTGGCTGATATGTAGAACTGAATTACATTGTAAAATAAAATAAAATTTTAAAAAAGAGAAAAAAATACTTATAAAGTTTCTTACCTACAGCTCAGCTTGAATTGCTTAATAATGTTGCTGATTTTCTCAAATCTGTGGGCATCACGCTGTTCTTTACACTGATAATGAGAAATGACCTGTGAAGAGATATTATCCTTTGAGACCATGTATATATGCATATACTCATACCACTATTACTAATTAAGCAGACATCTATGAGTCCTTTGGTCATCTTGGTTTTAAAAGCTGAGCTGTTACCTGGCATCCTGTTTCTTGCCCTCTTTCTCATATCCTTGCCAACAATTTCCATATTCATTTAGATAACATACCCAGGATCATTTTGTAATAATATTTGTGTATTCTCTAAAAATTATTTTTGATTCATGAAGGTATGACTTTTGACTTACCATGGCGAGTAAGTAATACACATTCAGTAAAATCACATTTTGAATTTTCCCAGGCTTGGAATATGCTGTACATATATTGGACTTGGAATATTTTGTACAATGCTCTCTTGTGATACTGAATAGCAACAGTGAGCTGTAAATCTCAGTTTATGAAAGTAAATTCTCAGTTTATAAAAATAAAGAACTAATCATTTTTGGAGTATTTGCATTGCTAAGCTTGGTAGGTTTTCAAGTTAAGAGTTTATCAGAGCATACCCTATCCTAGTCAAGGAGCATTTGGTGTTTTTCTCAATTACATTAATCACTAAATTTTACCTTATTAACATTTCACAAGATGATCTTTGACTTAAAATAGTATAAATAAAAAGGAAATAAATAAAAATATCTAGCTGCTCTTGGGCAGTCCCTAACATATAATTTTAAAGAAGGCTATAACAAACTATCTGTTGGAATCATATTAAAAACCTTTACTAGATGATCCCAAGTACTGTCGATCATAAATGGATGTATTCAGGACAAATACCCACACCAGGTAAAAATACTTTAATAGCACCTTCCAATTTTAATAAAACCACAAATACCCTTAAGGCTGAAAATAAGCTGCATATTTCTAGCATAAGAAAATCCACATCATTTGCCAGAAAAAAATTCATATGGAAATTCTGACATGATGTTAAATTATACTTTTTTTTTTTTTTTGTTTTTCAAGACAGGGTTTCTCTGTGTAGCCCTGGCTGTCCTGGAACTCACTTTAATAGACCAGGCTGGCCTTGAACTCACAGAGATCCACCTGCCTCTGCCTTCCAAGTGCTGGGATTAAAGGCAAGTACCACCACCGCCCAGTAAATTATTATTCTTATACCAAAGATAGAACTACAAGCATATATTCTCTATCCTTTGTTGCTAATTATAAGGCAAGGTTTGTGTTGGCTGCTTATCCCTTTGCTGCCCCATTTTAATGCAAACAATCAATCTATGATATAAGCATTATTACTCTGGTTTTGCAGAAGAGGAACCAAGCACAGAATGACTAAGACATTTGTCTAAATTCACCTAACACTAGTAAAGATCAGAAACTAAATTCTTCACTGGGAGCTGCTTTGAGAGGTACATTAAATGAACCTATTACCAATTATTTATGCAATGTGTTCTGACAAATTAGCTTTTATTACTACATTTTTTGTTGTTGTTTTTTGAGACATGGTTTCTCTGTATAGTCCTGGCTGTCCTGGAACTCACTCTGTAGACCAGGCTCTCCCGGAACTCAGAGATCTTCTGCCTCTGCTTCCTTAGAACTGGGATTAAAGGTGTGCACCGCCAGCGCCCAGCAGCTAATTTCTACTATTTTTCAAATGTATTCATTGGGCTGGAGAGATGGCTCAGTGACTAGGAGTGCTTCTTGGTGTTCCAGAGGACACAAGTTTGGTTCCCTGCACCCATGCCACGTAGCTCATAACTGCCTGTAACTCCAGCTCCAAGAAATCTGAATACCTTCTTCTGCCCTCCATGGACACCCAACACACAAGTGGCAACTCCCCTCCCACACACACACAAATAAAAATAAATATTCAAAAATATATATGAATAATACAGGTTTTTGTATCACCGACCCATGGTTGTACAGCAGACTCTGATATCATTGCTAAATTCAATTTATAAGAAAAGTAGAACTACCAATTACACCTCTTACCTGCTCCACCTCTCCATCTGAATTCTTTTTTTTTCCCCCGTTGGTTTTTTTTTTTTTTTTTGAGACAGGGTTTCTCTGTGTAGTTTTGTGCCTTTTCCTGGAACTCACTCGGTAGCCCAGGCTGGCCTTGAACTCACAGAGATCCGCCTGGCTCTGCCTCCCGAGTGCTGCGATTAAAGGCGTGCACCACCATCACCCGGCTTCCATCTGAATTCTTAAGTCACTAAGCCTTTTATATGTTAGAAGTTTTCATATTGTATAAATCTTTTTGATAAATAGGTGGGGAAAGAGTTTTCTTAAAAGAAAAATGCCCTACATTTCTTAATAGAGAATTGGGTAATAAGATTCCTGCATTATAATTGAATAGTTATTACTAGAACGAATCTGCAGTCTCTAACGAGCCATACCTGCAAAAATCTAAATTTTATAAAAGGTTACTTACCAAAGGGTTTTTTCCATACCACTTGCAGACAATATTGCTTTATAAATAAGACCATATATGCTGATGTAAAGGGGGGTGGTTCTTCCTAAAAGCAGTAAGATCCTGTTTTCTGAATGGAAGAAGACAGTTTCAAATATATCTGTAGAGCAGAAAGTCCTTACCAGAAAGGTCGCTCTCTCAAACAGAAGTACTTCATCAGCCTCAATAATTTCAGCAAAATTGCGCAGGTTCATTTCCAGTTGCTGAACATTAGGAATCAGCTGATAAACAATGCTGGACCAAGCCTAACAGGACAGAAGCACAATCAACTCTTACTAACAGGTAGCCAGTTCCAGGCCTCTGAAATGAGTAAGTACCCTACAAGACACAGACAGCTAAATACATTGATAATTGAGTCCAAAACAAATACAGACGTTAAATAGAACAAAACGAAACAAGAACATTAACCTAATACTTGATTTGTATCCTTGAGTTGAATGTTTAGAGTTCAAACACTTGAGAAATGCTGGAGAAATTTCTTTCCATGAGTAAACAGGTATTGTAATGTCATCGTGTAGCCTTAGGAAAAAAGTTGCAAAGTATGATCTACTGTGCTAAAACCCTTCTAATCCAGACATCCAACAAATATTGAAGTCCAACATTATACACAGCTTTAAAAAGAAATAATGCTACATTTAGCATACATCCAAGAGACAATTTTGTGAAAATATCAGAGTCACAATGACAAGTAGCCCCTCCCTTCAAAGATACAACATATTCTTATAAAAGAAACAACTAGGATTATAATTTTCAAATGTTTGGTCACATCTATACAAATTACTGATTCAATTGAATTTTAAAAGGTCTATTGTGTGACTGCCTGAAACTGACTTCATCCAGGAGTATGCATGCAGATGAGATTAGTTTCACTCTCCTAGTATTCTCTTAAGATGCTTGTATTCATATTTCTGTTATAACACTTCCTTTACTCTCACTCCGATTTTTCTTGTTAGGTGTACTTCATTCTTCTGTCTCCTACAAGACGTCAGGAACCTATCTTAGCCATTTGTGCATGTGACAGCATCCAATAGATAGACAACGGATGCTTGTTGGATAAACAATATCAAAATTTAAGTCAGTTCTATGCAACATTGATGGAAGAGATAATAGTAGTGCCATGTCTCTGTTTTTCAATTAGTTTTACTACTTAGGCATAGTGTTCCAAGTTCCCAGGTCGGTGTTAATGTCACTGCTGAATTTACCTTGGAGAAGGCACCAAAGCTAACCACAGCAGAGACATTGTCACTCACAGCAGTGTTGTGATTAGCCAATTGTCTTTGGTCGTGTTATGTATTGCCATCCTTCACACCGCAGCTGGTTCTTATCAGTGCATCATGTCCATCCTTATTCACGGTTACCTGTTCTATGGGAATAAGGCTTTGAGAGAAATTCGGCCCATATTAATCTAGAACAGTACTTCCTAGACAGGTATCTCAAAATGTTGTTATTAGAGTGAGCCTGGGTCAACATAATACTGGGGGGAAATGAATGTTAAAAAAAAATCAATTGCTATTTTTAAAAGTCCAGTGGCTTTTCTCCTTGGCAAATCAGGTTTCTGTGCATCTGGTTGTAGACACTTGTCAGATGAGTTGAAACTGAAGCTCTAGCTACCAGTGACAGAGAAGGATCCTTTGGCACCCAGCATCACACTTGTCAATGTATACCAGAAGCAGTCTGAAGGAAAGGTCTGACCACATGAGGACACAGAAGTAGTGAATTTTTAAACCACTAGTAAGCAAGAAAAATGGAAGAAGTAGGAGCCTATGTACCAGTAAGGTAACTTCAACTTCATCCACAGAACTACTGAGATCACCTCTAGACTTGCAAACAGTATGAAAATCATTCCAGCAACGTTAACAAGGAGGGTCGAATGCTAGACTCCAATTTGGCCTGAAAGCTGAAGTTACAATATTTTTACGCATATCATATCTCATTCTAAGATTCACTTCTCCCATTTCTCATCTAACTGTTTTTCTTCTATTGCTATCTGAATTTAAGCAGATTAGTTTATATCATTAGCATGTAAAGTACCTGCACATTAGATACCACAATAATCACTGAAACCACAATGGGTCGAAATGGATGGTGGATGTTAAACAACATTTTGCTATGATAAAGAACAGTAGCAGATTAATCATGTCCAAACTGGCAAACTTGGTGACAATGTCAACTCAATCTAAGATTAAAACCAAACTCTTTTGATGTTAAGTTTGATGTTCTTTGAACAATTTGTTATTGATTATTTTCTTTTTAGTACAACAAATCTAGATGGCTATGAAATAGTTTTAAATATTTTAGTTTTGTTAATATCCTTCTAACTTTTATTCATGCTCTTAAAATAGGAAATGGAGGAAACATACACACCTTATACAGAGTTTCATCCCAGATAGATGTTCGGAAACAAGAACATTCTAATGGACGAGATAAACGCTTTAAGTCTTCTTCTCGTTCTTTAAAAATCTGAAAGAAAAAATCCAACAAACACATCAGCATGTAACAGCTTTCCTCCTTCACTCCAAAATCTGAGGTGTAATTATTGTATCATATTTTGACAAGGACCTCTTACTCTGTCTTCACAGGAACCTTGAGTATTATTATTTCTTAAACAAGGGTATAAAGGTGTTAATGACTATTAGATTTCTTCAGGCTTATCCCGCTTTTGCTAAATATGCATAGAGAGCACAGGTAGAAAATAAAATTTATCATACAGAGGTATCTTAAAATATATGTACACTCCAATTTACCAAATCTAGGTCATTTTAACATGGCAATACTTATATTAAAATTTTGCAAATCAAAATGTTTTAGCTCTCTAATATTATAGAAATACTCCTTAATAACATACATTACATACATATATACAAATATATATTTATATGTGTAGTGTACTTTATTTGCAACAAATATATAATGCACACAACTAAGTTCTAGCCAGCTAGGATTTGTTTCTACATATATATCCCAACATATACAGAGAAAATAGGTATATAAAACATGTATACTCAGATGTTTCCCCGAGTGGGTTGATTGCTAGTATGGGTGTACAGACAATGATGACTAGTTCTTTCTAATTTCTAAATTACATTATAATAACTTTTTATTTTATGTACATTGGTATTTTGCCTACATATATGTCTATGTGAGGGTGCTGGATCCTGGAGTTATAGACAGTTGTGAGCTGCCATGTAGATGCTGGAAGCTGAACCTGGGTCCTCTGGAAGGGCAGTCAGTGCTCTTAACCACTGAGCCATCTCTCCAGTCCCTAAACTATAAATTAAAATGTGGTTACATTACCTTTCCCCTACTCTTTCCTTACTCCAGCCCCTCCCAAGTCTCCTCCCTTCAACTCCTTCCTTGTCCCCTTCTTAAATTGAGTCTTTTCCTTTGGTAGTTATTGTTTTACACACACAGAGAGTTATTGTTATACACACATACACACACACACACACACACACACACACACAGAGGCATGACTACATAAATAAAGCTTGCTGAGTTCTTTTTTTTTTTTTTTTTT